TAGAATATTCCACTTCTTGTAAAACCAGCCTGCAAATTGTCAGAGCAGCCTAATGCCGTCAAACCAAATATTCTATGATTATAAATCTAGAAGCTTAATCTCTTCTTTTATAAAATAATTAGCAAAAATGTCAAATAAAGACCCATAAATTATTAAATTGCAAAGGGGTTACCTGAATAAGCCAAATTGTCAGGAGGGACTCGGTCTCAAATTGCAATTAGCAAATGTAAGTGAAAAGACAGAATAGCCCCTCAGTAATTTGAACAAATTGAAACCGTGGCACGTAGTCCCCCTACTATCAACAACTTCCCACTTTTTTTTTTTTTTTGCATTCCCCCTATTCTCGCGCACCTCCTTACTGCCATTTTGCCATAAGAGTAGTGTCGAGAGGAGTGTTGCAACTGTAAAGAGCATATTTGCTGTAACAGAGGTAAACAGAATAGTGGTTTATCGGCATTGTGGAAGGGTTTAGGGAAGGACAAGGCACCGTTGAACAATAGGGCAGCAATCGTGATTGGTGATCAAAGTCAACATCTACGTTGGGTGACTAATTATGGTAAGTTTGATGGCTAATTTTGTTTGGGTTGGTTGCTGCAAGAATGTGATTCATTGGCGAGAAGAGTTTAGGACGAGAAAGTAGAAGTACCCAATTGTGATTGAGTGATGAAGAATGTTTTGATGTGAACTATATATGTTTTTTCTGTTAAATAACTTGTGGAAATGGTGTTTGCGTGGAGAGGGAATGACAATATCAGTTTCGTAGATGACAATAATAGCTGGGAAAATAACAATACAAGATTTGGTAAAGTGTAAATTGAATTAAAGAGGTACTGAAGTGTGTTTTGTTGTAAATGAGAAGATGGATGGTGGGATTTGACAAGTTTAGTAATCAAAATAACAATTTAATAATAGTAAATGACAAGTTGTTGATTAATTGGGAATAACAAGATGTCAATGCAAAATTGACAAGTTGGTAATGAGAAATAACAAGTTTGTAATAGTGAATAACAAGATTGCGATAAGGAATTGACAAGTTGATAATAGGAAATAACTTGTTTGAATAACAAAGATGAGTATGACAATTTGATAAGTTTATCATTTCAAATGACAAGTTAATAACTGTAAATGACTCGTGTATGATTAGAAATAACAATTATGATAAGTAGATGGGAATAACAAGTTGAGTTTAAAGATTTGACAACTTTTGTAGAGAAAATAACAAGTTTATCATAGGCGTTTGATTGACAGAATGAGTGTTGACAGAGTTGTTGTTAGTTAATTAATAAGTTGTTTTAGTGAATTATTGTATGTTGAATGTTTTGTAGGAAAAAAGACATGGCAAATGAGAAAGCCTCGACATCGAAACTAGTACACAATGGCTGGTTGCTATTCAAAAGGGAGTATCTGGCAACATTAGGTGACAGTGATATCAGAGGCAAACAAAAAAGAGACGTTCTGTCAAAGGCATGGAGAGCTTTGTCTGATGAAAAGAGGAAGAGGCACACAGAGTAGACAAAGAAAACAAGGCTAGAAAAGATAAAAGAGGAGAAAAAAAGAAATATGTACCATCATTTTTAACCCGAGTGTCCATGAAAGGTTTTAAGAAATTACCACACTTTGTGAATAATGATGATGAGTTAAGGGATAGGGTGGAAAGGATAGGATTTGGAAGCTTGTTAAAGGTTAGATTGAAGAGACTCCCCCGTGATCTCATTGTGACTATGCTAAGATCATATGACCCACTAACATATCAATTTACAATCCGAGAAAAAACTGAGAAAATAGGAGCAGAACATGTTGATAACCTCCTAGGAATACGCCATGGTGGGGAGAAGATTAAAGTTGAAGTTTTGGAGGATGATGAAATATACAAGAACTTGAAGAATCAGTATCAGAGAGTGTCATTCAACAAAATACTGAATGACATTATTTTTGGGGAGGAGGATCACATATTTGAATTATTGTTTGTCCTATACACACTAGGTACCTCTTTATATTGGTGGGAAAAAACTGAGGAAATAAGACCAGAACATGTTGATAAGCTCCTAGGAATACGCCATGGTGGGAAGGAGATTAAAATTAAAGTTTGAGAGGATGATAAAATATACAAGAACTTGAAGAGTGAGTATCAGAGAGTGTCATTCAACAAAATACTGAATGATATTATTTTTGGGGAGGAGGATCACATATTTGAATTCTTGTTTATCCTATTCACGCTAGGTACCTTTTTATATCTGTCATCTAGCTCAGAAGTGAGTGAGAAGCTGGTGAGAGTCATGCGTTCCATAATGGATGACTTTAGAAAGTATGATTGGGCAACACATATTAAGGAGGACCTATGGAATGAAATGGCCTACTCTGTTGGTAGCTGCATATACTTGCTTTTGGTATGACTATTTTGTTTCTCACTGTGTTTAATTTTATTGGCGATATGAACAATGTAATTGGTAATGATATGTGGTGTTGTAGCTTTTTTTCGGTAAGCATTTTAACCTCAGCCAAGGTGCAAAACGAGGCTCTGCCAATGCTATCCAATATTGGACAGATGAGAAGATCAAATACTTGGCAAGTACTGAGAGGAAGAGCGTCAGGGGGATTTTGTATGGTAAGAAAGGGAGTGATGTTGTATTTGGCAAAGACAAGAGGATAAATGTTAACTCTCTGGATCCAATATGTGTATCTTTGGTAGAGTGATATTGTTGGTGAAATGAACTTGTTGTTTGTGATAGTTATGTTGTCATTTGATAAACTGAACTTGCTATATATAAAACTTAAGTTGTGAGTGGATCAAGTGAACTTGTCATTTGCTATAGTTGACATTGTTACTTGATAAACTTAACTTGTCAAATACGGTACCAAAGTTGTGATTGGGTAATGTGAATTTGTCATTTGCTAAATTTTGGTTTGGGTTGTTATTTGATAAATTTATTATTGATTATACTTGAGTTGTGATGGGGTCAAGTGAACCTATCACTTATTATAATATAGTTATTATTTGATATACCAAAGTTGCTAATTATAAGACTGAAGTTGTGATGGGGTAAAGTGAACTTGTCATTTGTTATAGTGTTGTTGTTATTTGATGTATCGAAGTTACTAATTATAATTCCAAAGTTGTGATTGGGTAAATTGAACTTGTCCATTTGATATAGTGAAGTTGTTATTTTGATATACCAAAATTGTTATTCGCAATAGTGACAGGTTGTTATTTGTTATAGTGTAGTTAGCTTGTTATTTGATAAACGTCATTTTCATACCGGAGCTGAAGCAGTTACATGCACAATTAATGAAGAGGATAGAAGAAAGCCATCAGAGGTTGATGAATATGATAGATGAGGAGCTGTTGAGCGTGCACATTCTAAGAGAGAGAAATGGCAAGACAAAAGGAAGAGCTCATGCTGAGACACTCACATCAATTGTCAGTGGCTCTAAAGATGATGATGAGGAGAGACAGAATGTTGGTGAGACTAGTGAAACTATGCAGAAGAATGATAGAGGGAGTGATGGTGAGAGTAGTGAGAAGAAAGAGAAAGAGAAGGATGACAGAGGGAGTGATGATCAGACAAGTCAGGAGAAGGAGAAGGATGATTGGGGGAGTGATGATGAGACAAGTGAGGAGGAGGAGGAGGAGGAGGAGAAGGAAAATGATGATGGAGAGAATGATGATGAAGATAGTTAGGAGACGGATGATGAGGTTTTGCTGCTATATATAAATGAGCACTGTTATCATTATATCTAAACATATTACAAATATCACCTTCATGATAAAGATCAATTAGTATGTTGTCAGCAAACTTAACTGTGTATTTAATCTCACACCCTTTAACATTATTGCCTATCTATTGGGATATTATCTCCCTTAATTTCTTGAGTATTATCCCTTCTTTTATACTGCTTGCTCTCACACTTCCTCCAACGTATTTAACTTCACCTTTCTTATTTATTTCAGAATACCTACCAACATGAAAAAAAAACAAAACAAATCCTTCTAATAGCTTGACCTATTGTTACAGTTCATTTTCTCGTGCTAACTTGGAACAACAATTTACATATAATAAATATATCAACTTCAGTATACTTTTATTCGATCAAACGAATCATTTGCATTTAGAAATCAAGACCAACTACCTCTTCTCTTCCTTACTTGACATTAAGGTTTTACAAGTTCGACATTCTAAATGACAAGATCTTCATTCCCTCCCCTCATTGCACCACATTAAACTTCACACTCAAACTAACAATCATTACCTCCTTCCATTTTCCTTCTCGGACTCTACCATTCGTGACATTCCTAGCACAAATCAGTGGCAACGTGTCCCATGAAAATCACAAGTCAACAATCTAGCTACAAAGACAAAAATTTTGAAGCTCAACCCAACTGAAACCCCCTTAAACAACATTATTCTATAATCAACTCTGACTCTCACTCCCTCCATACCTATCACCCAACAACCCACAATGTCACTCGCTACATTTAAGAACAAGATGACATTCCTTGGTCTTAGAGGGTAGAGAAGAAGAGTAGTTTACTTAGAAACATTACTTACTTGATTCTCAAGCTTGTGTACCACTCAGTCTTCTCCTCCAAGCTCTCCACCGATCAGATTCTTTGTCTCAGCCTTCGTTAATGAAGCTGTTTTAATGAGGGGTAATTTCGTCTTTTTGCCAACATTTGCTAATTACAACTTGAGATTGAGTCTCTCCTGGCAATTTGGCTTATTGAGGTGACCTCCTTGTAATTTTGATAATTCGGGGGTTTTTGTTTGCTATTTTTCCAAATAATTAATTTAATTTCCTAAAAAATAATTAATTTCATTTTTTAATGTACCAACTTGCTTGCACTCTCTCTGCCTTATCACCACGCTAACAATGTTTTTCTGTTTTTATCTGACGTATTACCTTATGATTCAGATATATCAAGGGTGATATAAATAGGATTTTTTTAATTAATTTTTAATTTAATATTAGTGTGTGTGTGTGTATTTATATGTTAGTATCTTCGCTGGCGAATACCAAGTAAACGACTGATACTATTGGGATCGAGGAGGCCAAAGCGGAGACTTCCATATTGTTCATTGACCGGTAATGAAGGATTCCGTCATCGCCGGCAGCGTCGACAAAACCTCATCATCGGCCGGCGTCGACCTCACAAAGCCGCCGTCGTGGAGCTCCGGCGGCTCCGGCAGCCATGGGCTGGTGAAAAGAGTGACGAAAATGAGTGCCGTGTTCGTGGGGTTCACCGTCTTGTGGGTATTTCTGTATAACTCTGCGTCTCCCTTCGGCTTCCCCGTCATCTCTCATTACCTCACCGCCGCCATGCCCGCCGTCACCAAGGTCACCACTCTCTCTCTCTCTCTAAAACTTACACTGTTTTGTCTGGTTTTGCATCGCGGTGCCCATTCTGGTTTTGCTTGATGAAGGTGCGAAACCCAGAAACAATATTGGATTTTGAATCATAGGTTTTGATTCTTTTCTGTGTTCTTGAAATCCCTTATGTTCTGTTGTGAAACTGAATCCTCTATTGTCGCGGTTTAAGGGAGAGCGAGATAACTGTGATTGGACTTTTTTTTTTGGTTGTTGAAAGTTTTAATATATTATGTATAATAATATTTTATTATTGGAGAGGATACATGTTGCTTTTTGTTTGGGGAAAAAAGTTAGATTTATGAAGCAAAATATGTTTACATAGTTAATTATTATTACTAATTTGATAATTATTAGTCCTTCTGCTCTATGAGTCATTTGGTAGGTTGAATTTAGTTTTAAACATAAGATTTGAATCTATTTTGTATTTTGTATTTATTATTTTTTCTTAAACTAATTTACCCAATTTTTAAATTTTTTTCTTTTGGTAAATGAGTTTTCATGTGAGTGGCGATACAGGACAAGAATCACTTAAAAAGGTAGGGATGAATTTAGAAAGAAGGGGAAATAGTGGGGTATAATTAATTTTCAAAAGTTCGTATAATTATAATATCGGCAGTTACTTGTGGGTTGAGTTGATATTTCAATTTCATGGATGAGTTTTCATGTGAGGGAAAAGCGGAGATAGAGGGCAAGAATTCAAGGGGCCAAAAGGAAATAGTGGGGGCAATACTTGCAAATAATGAAAGTAGTGGGGACACATATATAATTAAAAAAACTGGGGTGATGGCGAAATAAGTGGGCGGATTCAACTCCCCACAGGGAAGTGTGCCCCATGCCAAGTCAAGTCGTCAGCCCAAAAGTTTTGATCTTTCACAGTAAATATTGTAGTGGCAGAAGTAGCGGGTTATTATTATTATTTTTTTAAAAAAACTGTCTTCACCCTTTTTAACCTTTTCGATAAATATTTGGAAAATAATTAATAAGCCTCTTCAATTTGGAATTTGAATAAAATAATTAATTACTTTCTAGTTTCTAGCAATAGCGACCCCGTGAACAATTCAATAATTGTACTCAGCCAAACCTCATTAATTTTATTGAGATAAAATAATTAATATTTAAATCAGCAATTTGATTTAGATTTCAAAACGGGATATTTGTCCAAATAACTAATGTTCACAAAAAGTATTAGTTTAATTAGTAACAGTGAAATTCTTGTTTAGTAGTTTAATATCTTTTTGAAAGAAATACCATAATAAATTACGTGAATACAGCTTAATTTTTTAAAAAATTTCTTGTGATGATTAATTATTTTTCTAATAATTAAAACTTAAAATTAAATAAAGTTTGCTCATTTTAGAAAGAATGACAATTGAAGACTGTGGAAAAAGTTAATACAAAATTAATATAATTTTTACTAGTGTTGAACTTTCAAATATATTACTCAAAATTTCATATTTCTAACTTACAAGATTTTATTCTTCATTAATTTTCTTATATACATTTTTAGTTAAAGTTAGGGTTAAAATGCTAATAATTTGGAAGCCCAATCATAAGTCCAACGACACGAAGACTCCTCTGTAAATACTCCTCCGATCCTTAATACAAGACTAATTTAACTAATTTGATTAGATTAAGAAAATTAATAAATATAAGACATGGGTCTTATATTTAGAATCAAAACCAACTCAAAATTGAGTTTTATATTAAGGACCGGAAAGGGTATTTTTTTTTTGGCTTGACTCTGTAGATCTCATTTGCAACGTCAAATCATCAGTACCTGTCCATCTAATTTTTTTAAGTTAGAATTAAGATCCATTAAAGTGTATATTTAATGGCCACATTTTAATTAATAGCTATCGTCTCTCATCTTGTTGGAGAAATCTGTGTGTGATATTTTGTAACTTTGTGATGATGTATGCAAGTGGGGGATGTACAGTAAGGCCACTAAATGTGTATGTGTTTGGTGATGGACTTACTATGAATGGTGATGTGTGAAATACTGAAAGGAATAAAGTGTCAGAACTTGAAGGCTCTTATTTATTTGATTTGGGATGTGACATTAATGCCTCACCACCCACCCTTACTTGTTATCCAAAACCCACCTCTCTTCAACGTATTCAACTCTAGACCTCTGTTCATCACAGAGTGACGACAAATTATAATGAGTTCCTGAATTATTATTCTCCTAGTCCATGTATAACGTACTCACTAAATAATTTATAAATATTAAAAAAATTAATTAAATTAATTATTTTTGTAATAAATTCGTATTGATTCCTCTAATTGATTAATAAGGATAACTTGAAAATAAAATTATAAATTTAAAAAACAAAATGGACTGAAGCTTTATATTTAATATCACACCAAATACTAAACTGGCCTCTGTTTGAGGTGGGAAGAAGCATGTACATCTCTTTTATATACACCAGGGACAATGTGATTTATCTTCCATTGCATACAAAGCATGGGCTATAATAGTATGTATAATATCTCTCTCTCTCTCTCTCTCTCTCTCTCTCACCCACGCATCTACCTTTTACGTACAACATCAAAGCATGACTTGTTTATCTCATGATTAGTACAAAGCGTAAGTTTAATTTGCTACAAAAGGTGAGCTACTAGATTAACATCTTCATATGCATGTGAGTTCATTGTTCTGTTTTACCTCTAACCGCTGTGTGTATATACAGAGTAATGATCAAAATGTGATTCTCCCGAACGATGCACTAATAACTTGCTCTTTGTAACGCCTTTTTCCTGTTTGACGAAATGCTTGTGCGAAATTATGATATCTGCAGGGAGAATATGATCCGAAGCTAGAGAGTGTTCTGAGACGTGCGTCGATGGGGAACAAGACAGTGATAATAACAACACTAAACGATGCGTGGGCAGAACCAGGATCGATATTTGATCTGTTTCTGGAGAGCTTTCGAATTGGGAAGCAGACGAAGAAGCTTGCGAGGCACCTGGTGGTTGTAACCTGGGACCAGAAGGCACATGATCGTTGCACTGCCTTGCACCCACATTGTTATCGCCTTGAAACTAGCGACAATTTCACCAATGAAGCTTTCTTCATGACCCCAGGTTACCTCCACATGATGTGGAAGAGGATTGAGTTTCTGGGCTCTGTCCTTGAGATGGGCTACAGCTTTGTCTTCACGGTATGTTTGGCTTTCTTCTTCAATACTTCACACCAGACATCTACATTCATCTCAATCCTAGTACTAGCAAGAATTGAGGTTTCCCAAATTCGAAAGTGATCAAGTGTATGTGATAAGCATTATAAATCGCATCTCAGAAAACCTCACCAAGTATGGCGTGGTTTATAAGTTCAAGGGTTAATGACCCACACTTTAGCTGCTAACCAGACTTAAATAACTTCCGTGTTTAGGCCATCAATTGATATAAGATGGTCTTTATTATTTTAAAAGACCGCAAGTTAACCTGTTTTAGAAAGCAATAAAGCAATTTTCTAACATCGTGGTCACATATACTACTGTTCTTAGAGGCGCTTCAACCAAATCAAAGCACTTCATGATTCTTTTGTTTTTGGTTTGCAGGATACAGATATAATGTGGTTTAGAGACCCATTTCCTAGATTTTACAAGGATGCAGATTTCCAAATTGCTTGTGATTACTTCCATGGGAACCCACAAGACATGAGGAACATGCCAAATGGAGGATTCACTTATGTGAAATCTAACGACAGAACCATATGGTTCTACAAGTTCTGGTACAATTCAAGGAAACTGTACCCTAAACTTCATGACCAAGATGTGCTCAACAGGATCAAATGGAACCCCTTCATCTCCAGCATGAAGCTTCAGATCAGGTTCCTGGACACTGCTTATTTTGGTGGCTTTTGTCAGACTAGTAAGAACCTTGATCAGGTCTGCACCATGCATGCCAATTGCTGCATTGGCTTGGAAAACAAGATCAATGATCTTAAGATCTTGCTTGAGGATTGGAAGAAATATATGGCTTTGCCTCCTCAAGATGATCGTAATTCAACAACTTCACCTCTTCCTCATTGGACTGTTCCACAAAGTTGCAGGTAACCTCACGACATTTATTTTTCTCATATGATTATATTGTGTGTGTGTGTGATTCACCGATGATTTTCTACCAATTCACTGTATCTATTTGATTCCAGGAACTTATTTGATTAATGCCTTCTGCGACGTCCCATCTTCTCAATTTATTTTTATTTTTCTTTTAATCATTAGCTTGTAAATAAAAAGAGAGACATTTTAGTATTTTACAGTTACCAAGTGATATAGCTGTAATATGTTTTCTTTACTTCTTTACCATTGTTAGAAGTGCCAAAGCTGGACAATTTCATGATATTTGTCTATGAAACATTGAAAAAAAAAACTACACACCGCTTCATATAACTTCAAGATACCAAAATGTCACTTATTTTATTTAGAAGCCAATAATTGAAAAACAAAAAAAAAAAAAATCCCAAAAACCTCTCCTTTTCTCATATGATAATTTTGTGTGTGATTCACCAATGATTTTCTTCTCAATTTTTCTTTTGATTATTAGTTTCTAAATAAAACGAGAAACATTTTGGTATTTTAATTTGCAATTATGAAATGATATAGTATTATATATATTTTCAAATTTTCAAATTATCAAAATTGCATAATTTCTATTAATTGGTAGTATTGTTGAGATGGTTTTGTTTGGCTTGTTTGTTGCTGGTTATTTTGATGAAGAACATCATTTGAACGTGCTAGAAGAAGTAGAGGGATTACAACTTTGCATGTATAAGGTAGGTCAGGCTAATTTTTAATTACTATATTTTGAATTTAAATTGGTAGAATATTTTAATTATTAATATGGAAATCAAACTAACCCTACTACATAAATTGATTTTGAAGGTTGGAGAACTTATTCGTTGGAGTTTCAGATTTTACAGAAAATCTCTAAATTAATTATAAGTGAACAACAATTTGGTCAAGTTCTGGAAATTGTGTGGCAGGGACACTGAATTTTGCAATTGTGAATTTCTCCCTCCTCTCACTCTACCTTTATTTTTTCCGTCTAATTTTTATACTTGAAACATTTAGATTTTTTAATTATGTTTTTTTAATTAATTCCTCACATACAGTAAGCCTTACATCTCTATTTTATTTCCTAATTATCCAATTTCATAACTTCTTGTAAACGAAGTTCGATGTTGTCGTAAATGTAGATTTTTTTTTCTTTTGTCCCATATTATATTTTGTATGATTTCAATGAAAGAATTCTTTTAAACCATATTTTTTGGGTCAAATTTTAAACCATATTTTATTATATGGACAATTTTACGTGTACATATATGTTATGTACATATGGCTTATAATATCCCTTCTGTTTATTATCCAGATATTATATATACAATAAATCTATTGATTAGTGCGTAGCGTCAGCGTTGATTGTGATATTTTACTCTTGAAAATTACGATATGATAGTGGATGAAATTAATGTAACATAATGAAAAATAATAATGTAACATAATAAAACAAAATATCACTCCAATTAGTTTTTGGCTAAAATCACATTTAGTTAGTCAAAAAAATTAGTATTTTTTGGCGTGATTCTGACTATTTTTCTTAAGTAACGTCTATGATAGTTTTATAATTTTGATTTTAATATTTTGATTTGTTTCAAACTTTTTAATATAATAATTATTCTCTATTCATAAAATTAGTATTTTTTTTTGGCGTGATTCTGACTATTTTTCTTAACTAACGTCTATGATAGTTTTATAATTTTGATTTTAATAATTTATTTTTTTCAAACTTTTTAATACAATAATTATTTTTTATTCATAAAATTATTTTCACCAAACAAAATTAAATAGTTTGATTAGCAACACATAATGTAGATTGTTAGTTGATTACACATGTCGGATTATATTTTTTGGGTGGACAATATTTTTCCTAATTTATTACCATTCTAAAAGGGATTAAATTAAATAATTGAAAAAGCTTTGAATTTGTAGGCTTACTCATTTTCCACCTTTGAGATTTTATTCTTAATTGATCAAAGCAACCAAGAAAAAAAGATCTGGGGGTTGGGGGATGAACTTAAGAATTTGCTGAACAAGTCATGTAGCACTCTGGAAAGGTCGGTAGGTTGGCACCGTTTCTTCAATCATGTCCAATTTTAATAAATTGATACAAGGACATGCACTTAAAAAGTAAAATTTATTAAAATTAATTTTTAAAATTCTCATCATGCTATGCATATCAAGAGAAAATAACATTTAAAAAAAAACAAAAAAAACGTGTGAAAGTCGGCTTTAATTCTTGATATCCAATCAGTAATCTTTTTTCAAATTATATATTAGTTAGAGTTTAGTTTTAGATAACACCATGAAAGTTTGAGCCTGAACATGATAAGGACAATTTTTTGTTGCAAGGAATTTATGTGGGTTTAAATGTAGGTTAAAATTTCTTATTTTCTAAAGGATGCATTTGCAGTACACAGATAAATAGAAAATTGATTAGTATATGTATTAACATATATGAAATTATCCGTTTTGTTTTGGATAATTCAATTTTCTTTTCAGTTTGAGGAGCAGCCCATGATATATTTATTATAATGTTCTTTAATTAAATTACAAATGAAAAAAATTGATAAAAAGGAGCAAGACGAGTTTGTAGAATGAAAGCAAAATTCAGCATTATATCTATTCGAATTTTTTTTTTCAAGTACAGACAAAGCAGGGTAAAAACCATACAAAAGAAAAGAGCTAACTTGGAGCATTATCTTCCATTTGATGAGCATATCAAGCTAACTAATCAGCACAAGAAATCATTTATAAGAACAAACCCAAAGATAGCTTCTCATATACTCCCTCCGTTCCTTATTATAAGAGACAAATAACCGAAATACGTTGATAAAAAAAACAGTTAAAATTAGTTAAGAACAATTAATGTGTAAAAAGTATAATTTGTTTTTCAAAAATGCCCTCATTAATAAGGAAAGAGAGCATGAGAGAGAACAATTAAAATATTAAAAGAAAGATAAGTGGGAGGGAGAGAGAGTGTGAGTTGGAGATAATAAATATGAGTAAAATAGGAAATCAACACAAAAAAGTAGAGATAACTTTTAAGTGTCTCTTATATATAGGAACATACCATAAGTATCAAATATCTCTTAAGGAACGGAGGGAGTAATTTATTGATGGGTTGGTTTCTCAAAGACAAAAAATAGCAATGTTGGAGCTTCAAAGCTCACAATATGAGAATGATCTCCACCTGGTTAAGCCAAGAAATAACAGCCCTGCATATATCAATCAGTGATTGGTTCAGCTTTTTATTTTCCCTCTCTAACCAGAGCCATGCATTAGCATCACCAACAATTTAATATTGTTGAATCACTCTTGTTCCGTATTAGCCCAGTGATCAATTCTGTTTCTTTAACCTGATGTTGACTAGAGGGTTCCATACCTCTTTACGCTCTCACATGATCCTCTCATTGGCCTGTGGCTTCTGTCATTGCCATTCTGATCTCATATTCCATTACCAGTATTTGACGTAGTTCTTTTATGATCACTAACACAGATTTAAATAAGTTATAACAGGCGATTCATGACAGATAGATATGTAAGCCAATAATTATCTCACATGCAAGAGTATTATACATATCTTTCGATGGGTCCCATATCGCATTTGCTTATATTCAGAATTAGCCTGTTCCAATTTTTTTGTAAATCAAGTATATTTGAGAATCTCTCGATCAATATATATTGTGCAAGAAAAATCCATTTCCAGAGACTTTTACTGAGGCCATTGACTTCTGTAAATGTTTTATATTTTTTTGTTTTATTTGCTTATCCTCCCTTCTTTTCGTTCAAAAAATTGAAAAGAAAAAAAAAAGAATTTCATAACTCCCTTGTCAAGTAATTTACTTTTTTTTTTTTTTGGGTTTCTTATAGTTTTCTAACAGTAAGTTAAACAACATTATAAAGGGTCTGGACATTGTAACAAGAAAGCAAGCAAAACCACCAGTTCATATTGTTTGATTGTGAGAGCCATGGAAGAGGAAGGGCTAAAGCTGATTCTGTCAAGTGATGAAGAAGAAGAAGAAACAGCGAGCACAAAACTTGAGCTCACAGTAGATGAAGTCCTAGAAGGGTATGTGGGGTCCTTGGGGATCTCTCAAGTGCTGCATGTATTCTTAGTGTCACTGGCATGGATATTTGATGCCCAGAGTACACTGGTCGCCATATTCAGTGATGCACAGCCACCTGCTTGGAGGTGCAAAGCTCCTGGTCTGTGCCTCAACAACAGTAATAGTTCCAGCAACAGCACTGGTGGTTCTGTTTGTGAATTGGTACCAGGAACTTGGGAATGGATTAATGGCCACACAAGTTCTACCTTAGCTGAGTGGGGTCTTATATGTGACCGCAAGTTTCTTGCTGCAATTCCTTCTTCCTTCTTCTTTCTTGGTTCTCTCATTGGTAAATAATACCTGTTCCATAAGCTTTACTTCTTTAAATTCCTGTTTTGTTTTCTACATAACAACATGATGGCTCGAACCAAAAATTATTTATGTACTTTCACTTACCGGCTTATATTTCTGAGTTGAAGTATAAACACTATATCATCCCTAGTGGATTTTCCTCAACCAGTTAAAGTACATCTTTTGTTTATTAAGTCTGCTTGGCTCATGAGGGGGCTTTCTCCCTCTTCTAACCTCTCTCTTTCTCCCTAGAAGACTGGCCAATACAAGTAAGCAGTGTGGCAGCTAGTTGATACGCAAGACATGCTAACGTTATTTGGTGTTGGAAAAGAACTCCAATTGTTTAGAAGTTTTAAATAAAGTGAGATAGAATCCATCAATTCCAACCTTTTCGTCCATCAGCACGTTTTTACTAAAGTTATTTAATCTCAAGTTTCTAAAATAATCAGTTGTATTGTTAGGCAGATGTATTAGAAGCTATGGTGCAAAAGACTTGTTACAGGAGAGACTCTTTATAATGAATATCATGCTAATATGTATCTCTACTCATAATTTACTTGATCTACCTGATACTGTTCTTGATGAATAATAAACACTTACTGGTTGCTTAAATTTTGCTGCAGGGTCTGCTGTGTTTGGTCGCTTAGCTGACTCATGGCTGGGGAGAAAAAGAACAGTGCTGGTTTCCTGCATCTTAACCTCCATAACAGCCTTTGCTACATCTCTCTCCCCGAATGTCTGGGTTTATGCCGTCTTACGCTTTGCAATGGGCTTTGCCAGATCTGGAATTGGCATTTGCTGCCTTGTCCTCTCCACAGAATCAGTAGGGCGCGAATGGCGTGGTCAAGTGGGCCAATATGGCTTCTTCTTCTTCACAATCGGTTTTCTTTCCCTCCCTCTTCTAGCTTACCCAACCAGAACTAGCTGGAGAAACTTATACAGAATCTTTTCCCTTCTCCCTCTTGCATACGTTATCCTATGCCTCCCTTTTGTCTCGGAGTCACCACGTTGGCTTCTTGTCAGAGGAAGAGCCAAAGAAGCACTTGCAGTGCTAGATAGATATGCTAGACTCAATGGGAAGAAAAAGCTCCCTGACACACTCCGCCTGGCAAACCCTTCAGGACCCAAACAGGGCACCAGCAGTGAAAATGAAACAAACCCAGTAAACAACAAAGAGAGCCTTTGGACTACAAAATGGGCTGCAAAAAGAATGGCTATTGTTATGTTATCTGGGTTTGGAGTTGGGTTTGTTTACTATGGGATTCAACTGAATGTTGAAAATTTGAACTTCAATCTTTACATCTCAGTTTCGCTCAATGCATTAATGGAAATCCCTGCAGTTTTAATTAGCAGCTTCCTCTTAGGCTTCACCAACAGACGCTTACTGTTCTCTGTGTCCACTTACATGGCTGGGATTTCTTCCATCTTTTGCACTTTTCTCTCAGGAAAAGTATCAAACAGTTTGAAGGAACAAAAAATTGGAGGGAACTGGGCTCAACTGATCATCGAAGCAATCGGGTTCATGGGTGCTTCTACTGCATTTGACATCCTATATGTTTATTGTGTAGAGCTTTTCCCCACAAATGTGAGGAACTTCTCCGTTTCGATGTTGAGACAAGCTTTGATGTTGGGGGCTTCAATGGCGCCATTGGTGGTAGTGTTGGGACGTTTGAGTCCGTCACTATCGTTTCTGGTATTTGGTTTGTTATCGATCAGTAGTGGGTTGATGAGCTTGTGGCTTCCTGAGACTAGAAATGCTCCGTTGTATGAGACCCTGGAACAGCAAGAACAGAACGAGAAGCTTAATTGGGTACCTGAAGATTCTGGTTTGGAACTTGGAATATGATTGAAAGAAAATCTTAAGAACATAAAAAAAAAAAAAATCTTCTGTACTAACAATTAGATATCTTTCTCCTTCCCCAAGTTAAGGTTCTGGTCTGGTGTATGATCTAGATTCATAGTTGCAAGAAATGGCGACCTTGTTTGTCCTGTAAATTCTACATGTAGAAATATTTCAGAATACAACTTGATCACTTTAATATCACTACCAAAGAACCAAAAAAAATCACTTCAAAGGCCGCATGAATAATTGCTTTGGAAAATTTCTCTTCCGTGCTCTTCTTCTTCTAGTCGAAATAACAAAAGTATCATTATTTGTATTTAATACAAGACGTAATTAATTAATTTAAATAAATTAAAGATTTTAATTAAATTAGTTAATATGATATATATTTTTTTAAAATATTATAAGCGTTCTCTTTAATTTTTTTCCCTCTTTTATTTAATTATTGTTGAGATAATATCAATAGAGTTAATTTAGAAAAAATTAATAAATATATGAAATAAGATTTATATATAAGATTAACATTAACTCACCAATTAAATTTTATATTAAGTACAAGAGGAGTATTTTTTTTTTTCTTTCCAACGCAAAAATATCACTATCAGTGCAAGGTAAATATATGAGTGATTAAATTAATAGGCATCTAGGTGATTAAAATTTTAAATTTAAAAGATGATTTTACATCTGAAAAAAAAAACAGAGAGATGATTTTACAGCATACTAAATTAAAGATGATTTTGATGGAAAAAATTAAAGATAATTTTGAATAAAAGAAAAAATTTAAAATATTTATAAAAATGGTGTATTTGAATCCTTTATCTTCATACATAATTTCATTCTAATTTCTTAATTTTATAAAAAATCTTTTTTATTCACCCCCTGACAAGACTTTCGCATTGTCAATAAGATCTGAATCCATAAATTTATGGATTATGAGTCAAAATTTTACTAATTAGATCAACTTTTTTGTTTTTTGGGGGTACAATTAGGTCACCTTGTCCAAGATGGAATATAATCCAATCATAAGCAAATCGTATTCAGAACCTGGGCCGAGCTATACTTGGGCCCAGGTCCCATTTCTTTCCCATATTACTGGGCCGGGCCTCTTTCTGTAAAAACCCTCAAAATGTTAAAAGGATGCGTTTAGCAAGACTCTTACCTCGTCGCGCAGCAATTGCTAGGGTTTTGGAGAGACGAGAGGAGAGCAGGGAGCACAGCAGCAATGGCTCAGGCGCAGCCAATTGAACAAGTGCAATGTTTCGGCCGTAAGAAGACCGCCGTCGCTGTGACTCACTGCAAGCGCGGCCGTGGGCTCATTAAGATCAATGGCTGTCCGATCGAACTTGTGCAGCCGGAGATTCTCCGATTCAAAGCCTTCGAACCCATCCTCCTGCTCGGAAAACACCGTTTCGCCGGTGTAGACATGCGTATCAGAGTCAAGGGCGGTGGTCACACCTCTCAGATATACGCTATTCGCCAAAGTATAGCCAAGGCTCTCGTTGCTTTCTACCAGAAGTACGTGGATGAGCAGAGTAAGAAGGAGATTAAGGATATTCTTGTTAGGTACGATCGAACTCTGCTAGTCGCTGATCCTAGGCGGTGCGAGCCCAAGAAATTCGGTGGTCGTGGTGCTCGTGCCAGGTTCCAGAAATCTTACCGTTGAAATCTTTGTGCCGGACGATCGTGCCTATACGGTTTTTTCTACATTGAATTTGAGTTATCGGTTCATGTTCTATGCTGTGGAAAACTTTTGACATCAACTTGTAGGTCTTTCGTTGTTGGCTTTTTCGTTTATGAACCAGTGTGGCGCTTTTATTCATCTAACTTTATAATCCGAATTCAATACATCTCAGGTATGGTTTTGCCCTTCAGAAATTCGATGTTTGAATCTAGCTGCTTTCATTGTTGTCACCTTGGCAACATTTCTTTTTATTCTTGTTCTATCTATCTCTCTGTTTTTTTTTTGATACTCAAATGTTGTCATGTGGGCTGTCTTGATATAAGATAATTGTCATTTAAACTATTGCTACATAATTACTGTTTAATAAAACTGAAATAGATTGAGTAATTATCAACTTAATATGCAATTGGTTGAGATACATAAAGAAGAAATTCATCAACGAAATAGCCAAGTTGATTCTATGAAAGACCTCATCAGAGCAGCTTTCTTAGGCTATAGTAATTCTTCAATTAGATTTTTATTTATCCTTAGCCATTTTGATTTAATTGTTGAAGCTTTGTGCGGTAGGAACAAATTTATCATGAAAGGTAGCTTAACATAATTGCAGAAAATAATTAGAGTGGATGAGGAACATATTGTACGCGTTTTTATGATCATAAAGAAATTGTCTTCCATGTTTTTGGGAGGTCAGCCCTTGGATGATTTTAGCTTTCTTACGAGTTATGACCCATTATATTTCTTTTTTTGGCCATATGACCCGTTATATGAGTGAGGAAAGACATTGGTGAAAGGAAAAAAGTAGAGTGAAAAATGTTTTCTCTTCATCTCTTGGGATATTTTTTTGGTCCAACATCTCTTGGGATATAAATGAGAGAATAATCAAAATGAAAAAATAAGTTGATATTTTTTAATTTTGAAAAACATGTTTAATTTTCAAAGTCTTTTCACTTTTGGAGAAAATATGTGCTCTCCATCCCTTTTGTTCTCATTCGCATACTTTTCCACTTCAAGGAGGGGATTTTTCTATTTCTTTTTCTATTTTTTTCCCATCCAAAGACGGTCACGTATTCTGGGGAGATTTGTTTAAATACAGAGGAAAAGGGTGGTTTTGATAGATTAAATATGAGAGCTGTTACTTATTAGGATAGAAATAAGGGAATGTGCTCCAATTTGTTTGCCAACGTGTGTGTATATGAAATCAAACGAAATCACATTTTTCTCTGATTCGCTTCAATCAACTAATTCAGCTACAAAACTTGTCACAAGTTTTCAAGTAGGTTATTGTCAACAAGGCAGACGTACGTATTGCCTGACTATTTAATGCGGTCTTGTATTTTTTTGGCTCTGAATCTAACACTTATTTTATAATTTAATTTTAAATTTATGATTAGAGGAGTATATAAACGAAAAAGAAATTTGCCTCTGATAAATCAGAAGCAATGCGCTGCACGAATACATTCTGTTTGCAAAGTGATGGCTGGTTGAGTGGAGCTGTTGACAGTGGTGGTGATAATTACTCCCTCCGTTCCTTATTATAAGAGACATTTGATGCTTATAGCATGTTTCAAAATATAAGAGACACTTAAAAGTTGTCTCTACTTTTTTGTGTTGATTTTCTATTTTACTCATATTTATTGTCTCCAACTCATACTCTCTCTCCTTCCCACTTCTCTTTCTTTTAAGAATTTACTATTGTTCTCTCTCATGCTCTCTCTCCTTATTAATGAGGGCATTTTTAGAAAAAAAAACTATACTTTTTACACATTAATTGTTCTTAACTAATTTTAACTATTTTTTTGATCAACGTAATTCGGTTATTCGTCTCTTTAATAAGGAACGGAGGGAGTAGCATTTAGCGCTAAAAATAATAACAGTCCTGTGACTTCGTTCCCACCGTCATTGTGTTTATTTAGTTATTATCACCCAAGAAAAATATTAGTGGAGACATAACATTCTTGGTTTTTTTTTTTCCAATTAAACACAAAAATCCTTCTATTAAAGACTCATTTGAAACATTGGTATGTGCTAAAATATTTGTAGCTTTTATAATAATCTCATGGAATAAAAAAGACTAGAGTCTCCAACCATATTCACTAAGTTCATTAAGCTTGATTCTGACTGTTAATCGAAATTAATTTTTTTTTTAAAACTCATCAATTTGATTAGTGAAATAAAAAAAAAAGACGAATCATAACAAATGACAAAAATTAGAAACTAAGAGAAATTTAACAACTCTATATGTGCACCCAAGTATGCCGCCATATATAAATGGTACTCCTCCGGTCCTTATTATAAGACCCAATTTGACTTTTTATTTGGTCCTAATTATAAGACCCAATCCATTTTCTCTCTTATATTTATGCATTTTTTTCCAAGATAATCCTTCTAATAATGATAGTTTTAGCCAATATACTTAATTAGCAATGATATTTTAGGAATAACAACACTTATTTATTATAAATAACCAACTTAACTTACTTCCTTAATCTCCTCAAATAAGTCAATTGGGTTTTATAATTAGGACCGGAGGAGTATTTACTCATAGAAGGTCTGAAATTTTTTTTTTGAATGAAAAAGGACAACAGGAAGGAAATACAGAAAAACAACGTAAAAACAAAAACAGCCCCTACAAACTACTCCTCGTCCGTCTCAGAAAAGTCGGGAAGGGGAGAAGGTCTGAAATTAAAGGAGGCATACAATAACTTATGGAGAAATAAAAAAATAAAAAAAATAAAATGTGGCGGTCTTTCTTGTTTTATTATAAATCGTAAATTTGATACTTGTGAATAAAAAATTCCTTTGCGTAATTTTTCTTCGGATAAAGATCAAAATGCATTAATAATAAAATAAAAAATACAACGTCACGGATAAGAATTAAGGGGGAAAAAAAATCTCCTAACTCTTCCTAGAAGCTAATTTTACACGAGAGAGAGGGGGAATAATATTAATTATAAATAACAGGAAAGCTGGCGGGCTTGTCTGCAAAAAGAGGGATAAATAAGAGGGCGGTGTTCTCGTTTTGGGGAGAGCGCCGGTTCCTCCGATTTCAGCAGAAAGCGTGAGAAACATAAAGCAGAGAAGCGAAATCCTCATATAGACGCGAACAATCTCGGGAGATTAACGTAGTACAGTATGTCGGATCCATACGAAAGAGTGAAAGGAGGGAGGTTGAGCTTCAAAGGCGGAACCCTCGCCACGCGTAGCAAAACCATCGAGAAGAAGAAAAAGAAGAAGAAGAACAAGCACAACGACGCTCCTGCCGACGGTGAAATCGACTCTTCGAAACTCGAGAACCAGGAGGAGGCCTCCGCCGCCGACGGAGGAGGACGGTCGGGAGAAACCTACACGATCGACGCCGCGAAGAAAATGAAGTACGACGAGCTGTTCCCGGTTGAGGCTAAGAAGTTTGGCTACCAACCCAAGACCAACTTCAAGTCTATCGAGGAAGCCCTTGATGATCGCGTCAAGAAGAAAGCTGATCGTTATTGTAAATAATTGTTGTGCCTTCAGTGTTCTGCCCATCTCCAAAGTCTTGGTCCCCTTTTGTTCGGGTTCGTTTCGTCATATTCATTTCTGTTGAGTTGAGATTATAGTAATTGATACGACGGTTTTCTTTGGTAAAATTGAAAAAAGAAAAAACTCGTTTTAGACAAAAGTAAACGTTATCTTATAAAAATAATCAAGTTTTTCCAATAAAGTTTATCTTATATTTTGAACCAGAAGGAATACATGTTTTCTCAGCTCCTCAGCTTTCTTTTGATTGAAGCTCTTTACTGCTACTATAAAAAGTTGATACATCTTATGGCCAATTTTCATTGCCACTGTTGGATGAACTTCTCTTTTTAAATGCTGTTAATTTTGTTTTGAGTTTACTTTTCCTGAGATCATCTGCAGGCTGCAATCTAAAGCATATTTAGCAAATCCAATTCACTCAGTTAGCCACATGATCTGTTAGCAGTGTGCATAATGCAGAAAGAATGTTGTAGGTTATCTTTCTTATAGATATCCATAGTTGTGTAAACAAGAAGATGGTTATAATTTCTGAAGATGGAATTTTTACCTAAAGCATATGATAATTGATAATCAGGTTGGGGATGTTCCTTTGATATTTCTACTTTCTGTTGCTTCTTGTGATCCCTAACAAGTGACAAGATTTATACATGCAGAAGAAACTTGTGCTGGAACTTCCAAATAAATGTTCAATATCAAGCATATAATGTGCATTGACAGCAAACTTATTACTTGATATGGTTAGATTCATAATTTTCCAATGGAATAATATAATTCAATTGGCTTTTTTGCCTTTTCCTATTCCTGTTTCTTTAAAAGCGCCGTATGCTATTGACTCATTGATTGAAAATCAATTGGTGTCACTTAGATCTACGAAGCCCAGGGAAATGTGATTCTTTGTGTTGCAGCATGCTTTCTCTACTGGTAAGTAACAACACCACCCTTGTGGAAGCTTGGTTTTTGATCCTTGCCTATCATATGTATCACATTATCTGAACCTTTTTTTTGGGGGGGAAAAAAATCAATTGTTATGTATATATGAGCTCAGGTCTAAACTGACGAGCTCGTTGCTTTTTAAATAAAATGAAATTAATTATCCTTATTTGGTTTGTGATTTCTGTTTGGGTTTTAAATGACTGTGGTGGCAGGTGTATATACCGTATTTGTAAATATCAGAAGGAGATCCAAAGTCTGGAGGAAGTGGAGAAAAGATACAAGGCTCAATAGTTTTCATAAGGCCACACCATCTCTGCTCGGGATCTCCTTAGTACCATCAATCCTGAAGCTTAGATGTTAGTGCTTTTGTAAACTCTGTATAGTTGTCCAAATTTATATATATTTCCTTTTCATTAAAAAAAAAAAGTTTTCATAAGGCCTCGTGGTGTATCGATGGATTTAGTTCAACTTGAAGGCCAGGTGATGCTATTGATACCCTGTTATGTGATTTTCATTGTTTTTTGTTTTCGTCCCCTAAAATTACGGTTCTGTTGGACTTTATATATGTATATATGTTGCCAATTTACTCTCCATGTTAGCCCAACGTGCTTTTTCATAAGCCCAATAATTTTCTTTTCACTTCTATGAGATTATGTCTACGTGCATGTGTAAGAATTTTTTTTTTCAGCCTTTCTTTTTTATAAAGAAAAGTTAGGTAGGTTGGGTTTATTTTTTCAGTTTTTCAAATAAAGTATACGTTTATAATATATTTCATGTCACACATCAAAATTTTAAAATAATATGCTTTTTGAGATAACAACATATATAAATATTCTACTTACCAAAAAAAACACTTATATAAATATTCTTATTAACATATCAAAATGAAAGGGTAGTCTAATATATTATAGTTCATCCTTTGTAATAAAAAGCAAGCTTGATCTTTGCATGATCATTATGTTATATACCATTTAAAATTGTGGAACATTCACTATTAATTCATTTCATTGATTTGAAAAATAAAATCCAATCAAAATAAATAGATATATTTTGAGTTGTACCAAAAAAAAATGTTATTAATATGGTGGTCTCACTTTGACTTATCTCTACGATTATATCAAAATGTAAAAGGCATACAGATTATTTTGAGTCTTTCACATTGTAAAATGAACTTTTTTGACTAATTTTTGACTTTCCTCTTCACTCGCCACCGTTCTCAGAGTCGTCCTCCGTGGTGGAGTTTTCCCACCACGGGACGTCCTCTTCCTCCTCCTCCTCAGGTAGAGGTCCTTCTGTGAGGTTATCGTCTACAAAAAAAGGAAGAAGAATTCCCTGCTTGTTCATTGGTTCCGAAAAATAATCTATATCAAAATGTAAAAGGCATACATATTATTAATTAAAATTTAATTTAAATGATTCATCCCTGGAATTTAATAACAACAAAGAGAGGGCGGTGAGAGGAGGAGAAGAAAGAAGATGAATTAGTGATTTAGTGTTGGTGAATATTGGTGAGCGGTTTGGCCTAAAAAAATATTTAAAAAGAAGAAGAAGAATGAAGGAAAGAAAGAACTGTAGGTGAGCAGAATTGATTAGAAGTGGTCAAATGAACCTCTTTCTCTGTCGTCAAAAGCGTGGGATCTGACTCTTACGACATGCCTACGAAAATATTTTGAGTCTTTCACATTTTAAAATGACTTGACTTGAATTATGCATCAGAGATTTAGCATCTTTCAAAATGCAAATTTTCACATTTTAAAATGACTTTTTTTTTTACCAATTTTTGACTTTCCTCTATTCAACTTCGCTTTTCATTTCTTGTCACTCGCCGCGTTCTTAGAGCCGTTCTCAGAGTCGTCCTCCGTGGTGGAGTTTTCCACCACGGGACGTCATCTTCCTCTTCCTCCTCAGGTGCCGGTCCTTCTGCCATGTTGTCGTCTACAAAAAACGGAAGAAGCCTTCCCTCCTCGTCTATGGTTCCGTAAAATAATCTATCTATTAGATATTAGATGTATTCATTGTAATCATTTTGGGGCTTTAGGTGTATTGGGCTCGGGCCTCATTGTTGTTTTAAGCCCATTTAGTTTTCCGTCTTCTGTAGACCTATTTAGGTGGCTGACCGGATGTATTTTGTATGGACATATTTTCACTATTCAATAAAAGAGTATTATTCAACAGTCCACATTCTCTGAATGTTTTCATGGTATCAGAGCTGAGGTTGGTCTAAGTCCATCAACGGTATCTTTGAGCCCATCACACAAAACCTACCTACGAACGCCGGAAACCCAAGAAGTGAAGTGGATTGCCTTCTAACAAGGGTTCAGCGCCCTCTGTTCTAGCTCGAGAAATCAAGAAACCCTTACACGTCTAACCCTACCGATCAAGAATCTATCGATCAGAGATCGCGACTAGCATCATGGGGAAGAAAAGAATCTTACGGCCACTTCTGCAGACCTATTTAGGTGGCTGACCGGATGTATTTGTATGGACATATTTCACTATTCAATAAAAGAGTATTGTTCAGCAGTCCACATTCTCTGAATGTTTTCATGGTATCAGAGCTGAGGTTAGTCCAAGTCCATCAACGGTATCTTTGAGCCCATCACACAAAACCCACCTATGAACGCCGGAAACCCAAGAAGTGAAGTGGATTGCCTTCTAACAAGGTTCCGGCGTCCTCTGTTCCAGCTCGAGAAATCAAGAAACCCTCACACGTCTAACCCTCACCGATCAAGAATCGTACCGATCAGAGATCGCGACTAGCATCATGGGGGAAGAAAAGAATCTTGTGGCCACGTCGATTGATTTCACTAGTCCCCTGTTCCTGCATCCTTCAGATACTCAAGGAACATCCATTATCGGCTTAATCTTGACGGGGAGTGAAAATTATTACGGTTTGGAGCAAAGCTATGCTGATTGCTCTTCGAGGAAAAAATAAAGTTGGCTTCATCAATGGCTCGTGCAAGAAGAAGGATCAAGACTCCAAACTTCACGATCACTGGGAAAGGTGTAATGCCGTCGTTTTGTCGTGGATATTGAGCTCTGTTTCTAAGGACCTCGCCAATAGTCTGGTTTATTTCAAGAAGCGTCATCGGCCTGGGACGACCTGAAGGAACGATTTGATAAAATTTCAGGGTCATAGATTTTCTACTTACA